TCTTATTTCTTTCCTTTTTCATAAAAAAGGATATAAAGTGACTTTTTACATGGGCAGATGGGGGAAATGGCTTTAAACTGCAATAAGGGAGATTTAGATTAGATGTTAGGAAGAAATACTTTACTAAGGGTGGGGATGCCCTGGCACAGGTTGCCCAGAGAAGCTGTGGCTGCCCCATCCCTGGGAGTGTCCAAGGCCAGGCTGGACAGGGCGTGGAGCAACCTGGGCTAGTGGAAGATGTCCCAGTTCATGGCTGGGGGTGGAACTGGATGGGCTTTAAGGTCCCTTCCATGGAAACCATTCTGTGATTCCATGATTATTTTTTGTGTCAGCCCTGCCCCAACACCTCCCACACCCCAGCCCTGCCCGTGGCAGGTGAGGCTTTCACTGCCCTAAGTGAAGGGAACACATTTGTTCCAGGCTGTGGCAGATCCAGCCTTTGGAATACCACGGTCCCACAGAGGGACTGACACCAGGAGTGTGTTTGTTACTTTATACACACAGGTTTTATTTTTACCTGTGTAAGCAGAACTAGAAGGAGAGCTGCAGAACCTCAGCATGTTTTCACTGCAGAAAAAATAGACTGAACAGCATCCTTATTGGATTTGTTACAGTGTATCAAAAACTGCAGCTTTCCCCTAATTTACAGTTAATTTCTCTATTTGTTCCTTTTCTTCTCATTCTTACTTGTGGTTTTCCCCTATAGGTGAAATGGGAAAAAATGAATGGTAAAAAAAAAATAATCAAAAAACCACTTTATGGTATATAAGTAATTAAAGCAAATATTAATTGCTTTTTAAAAATGCCAACTTGAAAATAATATAGATTACACAGTACTCATAATTTATTAGTAGCATAGGTATGAGAAAATAATATTAAAACCATAACAGCAGTGATTAACTATAATTAAAACAGACTTTTTCCGAAGAGTCCTAATTTACTGGGAGTATTTAGGGTTAGACCCAGCCTTGCATGACAGAGTTACTGCTGTTGTGATGATGGAAAACAAATGAGACCATCCTACAAAATTCCCAGGGACAAAACACACATCTGAACACAGGCTGGGTTAATTAGTAAGGTAGGGAAATGACTTCTCCAATGAAATAATATCCTTCTTTTCATTAGTAATGATTCTGAATGCTTTAATTTCAATTATTCCAAAGCAACAAATTGTGTGTTTCAAAACTTGCAAACAAATTGCGTTTGGAGATCTTTCAAGGAACCTTGTTACTTTTTCCATCTACAAAAGAGAGATACTCAAAAGTACATGTAAACATTTAAAGACTGAGGTTCTTCACTGGACATAGTATTCGACTAAAATTTGCGCTTCTATTTTAAAAATGTGATATTTACTGCTTTCACTTCTAACAGTCTATCACAAACTGAATCAAAGTAATTTTCTTTTGGCTCTTTGAATTTCTAACTATAATATAAATTACTTTTGTGGGTAGGTAAAGTTACGAAAAAATGTAATAACAAAATTCAATTATCTTTTCAGTCTAACATACTTTAAATATTTCAGGTGTTTTTTTCCTGGAATACAAAGGACTAAAAAGCCACACTTCTATTTTTTTTTTAAATTAATAACTCACTGGAAATGGATGACAGTTGTCATTTTAAACATTGCCTTTATGTTCTGAACAATATGAATCCAGGCAAAGACTGTGTAAGAAAGTGCATTCATTTACACTTCCATATTATTCATACTGTTTGTTAAAATAAAGGGAAACATCAGCATTTGCAGGTGATCAAGGTTTGGGGTTTTTTAAAGAACTGTTAAACTCTGGCAGAGTAAATCCTTGATAGTCCATGAGGAAATGTTGTTCTCAGTCCAGCTTTTATTCCGGAACAGAAAACTTTCCTTTAGAACTTATTGTTGGAGTGATTCAGTAGTTTGGCACTGGTTGCTGAGTTTTTCATTTTAACTACTGTTTGATTTTCCATGAAAGAATGTCTGGTGTTTCCAATGTCTCTAAGGCAGATAAATACCCATATTCCATACAAATGCCATTTAACATTATCCAAACTTGTGAGCAACATCACGAGTAAGGCTAATAATTGACATGTAGAGACACCAAAACTATTTCAAGACCTTCACTGATCAGGCAAAACAGTTTCCTGATCCAGTTTGGTGCATAAACCTTTTTACAGGACCAGGGAGAAGAGCATCGAGGTGGGAATAAGCTACCTGGGGACTTCTGAGATGGGTATTTCCACACAGAGAAATTTGTATTTATCTGTAGCCTAAGGTAGAACACAACTTACTGTCCAAAGGCAACACCAACTCCCTGCAAGGGGGAAAAATAAGGTATTTCTTCAGGTGATTACTCTGTCCCTCCAGTCATTCCAGATCCTTGCATCCATACAACACATGATAATCCAGGACAATCACACAGATGTATGGACATGCACACTCGAATTTACAGCTCTTTTTGTACACAGCCTCTCAACACTGCCAGCTCTGACCCGCCCTTCAATACTGTTGTGTTGCTAATAAACATCAGGGACTGAGGACTGGGACTGCAAAATGAAACTATATTTTGCTGCAGTTTCTAAGTCAGCTGCCAAAAACACACACAAAGAAATTCATCTCTATTTACAGGCAAAAGTTGATTCGTGAACGATAATAAATAAAAATTATTTTGTAATATATCCACACATAAATACTGAAGGACCAAGACGAACTACAGAAGCTGAGGAGCAGTTTTGATCCACTCAGCTGGCTCAGTGGTGTGGTCCAGCTTGGGGAGAGCCAAAACTGAGCTCGAACCCAAGTATGTGAGTGCGCTGCACATGGCCCGGCTGCGAGCACGAAAGCAATAGGTCATGTTGTTAAAATGTGGTGGGCAGGGGCCAAGGCAGAATTGTGCTGTTGATGTCAGATTCATCACTTTATGTAAACCACATTTATAAACACTGCTAGAAAATGAAAAAGCACTTCGTTTGCCTTAGAATAACAAACATATACAAGGCCAGCTTAGAACAGGGATTGCAGTGTAAGCACAAGCCACATATGGCAGCACGTGTTCGCTCCCTCAGACATAGGGAGGAATACAAATACAGCCATTTTCAACACAGAAATCGAGACAGCACTTTATATCACTGATGAGATAACATAAGAAGTCAATACAAAACATCACCTGAACGCTTTTTCATTTCCTCTTTCACCAGAGTGAGACACTGCTCTGAACCTCAACGTGCTGGATGTGCTCCTATCACTGCCTAAGAAATTCACCTCCACTGCTCAGAAACGTTAAGAGGTAGAATTCTAATTTTCAACCAATTCTTTCACTGGTGGAAACAGAAATCACTGAAAAGGTCTGAGCAAACAGTCTGACCCCATATAGTTTTTAGTTATTTAAACGTGTCATAGGAATATATACAGACGCTTGCAAAGAAAATACCCTCAGACTACTATCTCTTCATTAAGCCCCCAACATCATGGATTAAAACACTGTGACACTGGAAATAAATTAATGACATTAAAAATAAAAGAACAGGCTCATAAAGTAGATTCAGAACCACTGGCCCCATTTAGTTTTTAGTATTGCTATCTAAAGTTCAGAATAGAGGTAGAGAGGAGACCTGAAAATGTGATTTCTGGGTATTTTATCTGAGATTGCGATTATATTCCAATCAAAATACTAAATCTAAGTCTTGAAATAATAAACAGTTTCATTAAAGACCAGCATGTCCATGAAGGCAACATTTATTTCTACCATACTGACCCTTTATGTCACACAAAATATACGGGTAAGCCGTTTTAAGGTTGTAACATTTTTTCCAGATCCTACCACTATGTGTATCCCTTTCATTATGTAACTGGCTATGACAAACTTTATACACATAGGAATGTGTTCCTACCACCAGAATCAACTGAAAGGAGAAAATAATCATAAAAAACCCCGAGTATTCATCCAAAATTGAGAGGCAGCACTGCTGCAAACCAGGGTCAGCTGGAACTGCTGATTCAACACTTTGCTTCTGAAAGAAGGGAAAAAAGAACCCAGCACATTTATATTACAACCCTCAGGCCCCGCTCTCTTCTATTGAACAGCCAAGAAAGTGTTGGAGGCTTTTTTAAAACAGCAATTTAATACTAATTTCCTCAATAAACCCATCCAAACCGAGCTATTCAAAACACAGGGGAGTGTTTGCTTGGGAAGCTCTGGTTTCTCCATGAAGGCAAGTGAAGGCAGATCTATGCAATTTGAGATTTCATGAAAGTTTGAGATCATGCTTCAGATTCTTGTGTGGGAATGTGATTGCTTTTGGAACTGTAATTTTATTCCTTGGGAAAAGTGATAGGGAGACTCTTTATCATCATAATCCATCTGTGCTACTGGAGCTGGAACAGAAGCAAAGGCAACGCTGCAGGTAACAGAAGCCTTGTCTTGGTTGATATCACAGCACCAAAGTTCTAATGTTTGGCATGCTATCTTTTTTTTTTTTTGCCTTAAGAAAGTCACAGTAGACAAAATAACTATTATGCAATTTGAACAGGCATTTTGCAAACAGCACCATGGACAATAAAAAAAAAAAAAAGGCCCAAATAAATTTTCCAGGCTTTTTTTTTTTTTTTCCAAAGCAAGACCAGACTTTTAACATAGAAAGGAGCTAATTAAAGAAACAGATGAAGTCAGATGTGCACGGAACTGGATATAATGTATTGTAAATTTAAAGACACAAACTGTTTCACTGCCTTTGAGACCTGCTGTAGGTAAACTCCATTAGTCAGACATTTCTGAAGTTTACATAAACAGGGCCTCGGAAAGGTAAACAAAGAATAACCCACTTTCTAAATATTGTGATGTGCACGTCAGCACAGCTTTGTAACAGTGTAAATTTTCAAAGACTTGGGTTTAAGCCCACAACTTCAATCCTTATCACAGAACCCCGCAAATATTGTCTGTTTTAGATAAAAGATATGCTTTATTTCCCATATGCAAGAGACAGAAATTGGCTATATTGACCAAAACGTCTGATCCACAGTTTACATTCTTGGATCACCCTCCCAGCCAGGCAGCTGTCAACTGAAAGTAGAGGTAAAAATTATACATAACTACACAATAAAGTCCTAATTTTCTAACTTTAGAAAGCTTTGGCAACATTCTGATCACTGCAGGCTACTGGTTTACTCTGCCACTGGCTATGGTTTTATACTTTTACTCAAGTCACACTTTTTAAAGAATAATGGCTAACGAGATCATAAATAATTGTAATTCCACAGCGGGAATGACCTGAAATGGACCTCACTGTACTTCCAATGGCCTGATGTCAACTATTATTAAACTACAGGTTTTATAAAGTCTTCCACTAGACGTCTAGAGTTAAGCCAGAAGTTTTGGCTCCAATGCAGGCAGTGATGAAAAACATATGAGTGGTAACAAGGCGTCTTAATATCATCCTTCAGTACTAAGATGGGCTAATCTGAGGCAGCACTTTACTCTGGTATCACCCACGGTGCCAGCAGGATCAAGGAGTTTGGAAGTGGACTTTTTCTTTTTATTTGCTTTCCATTTCACAGAACTCAGTCTAACTTCCTTTTTCTCTATTTTTTTTTTTTTTAAATATAAAATAACTGGACATACAGAGCTCAGGTGGATTATCACAGAGCTTCTGGAAGAACTCCCAAACTTGCAAGGTATGTCCACTTTGAATACCTATTTTATATAAATAGCAGTAAAGAGTTAAGCAACAGGTTGCCAGTCACTATGTGCAGATTAACAATGTCAGGTAATTTACAGTTAGAAATACCACTTTTTTTTAATGGAACATAGGAAAATTTACTTTGCAGCTGAAATAATTCTGTGTGTTCTACATCTGAGCTGCAAAACACAAACAGCTACAGTGAGTTATTTAACTATTAAAGACTCGTCAGAAAGATGTTACAGCTGACAATAACTTTCCTCAGTTATAACAATCTGTGAAAATCTACCCTACAATGTCAGCAGTTCTTATAGTTATAACTCTGTGTTATCTTTCTGTAATTTGGTATTCAAGTTGGTGGGGTTTTTAAGTACATATCAGCAAAGTAATTAAAAACAACTCACGAAAGAGTAAATTGTAGATGAACTACAACCTAAAAATGCTCATGGATCATAATCAGTAACAGGAGTCAAGCAGTTTTCCATAAAAAGTAAATACTCTGTAAACACCACTTATTTCGTAAACATCCAATTAATTATCACTACTTAACTTCAATATTGGACTATTTCTAGCAACAGAAACATTTCTTCAGTAATCTTACTAACAAAAAAACTTCCTCCTGTTTTTCTTAAGCAATTTAAGTAAATCAATGGAGTAGACAAAGAGTTAAACATAAACTCCTTTTATTTCTGGAATGGGACAATGACTAATAGAACCAGAACTATTTTTAAATATAGATTTCAAAACAGCAATGGTCTTGCCTTTCTTTGGACAAAATCTGTGCACAGAGCAATGATTTGTGTTATTAACGAACACAGGGACTTTTCTTTGCCTCTGCAAAGACCACCACTGGGTCATTTAAACATTTCCTTTTCAGAAACAATGACAGAGGAAACTGGTCTCCGAACACCGGTAACAGAAGAGATTTCTAAATATGATTTAGAGTCTTTTTAAGTCTTAAAATTCTATGTATTAACTCCTTGGTGTCATAACTGCTGAGACAACAAATGCCACATGCTGCAGGGCTGGCATGTAACTCCCAAGGAATCCAGGTTTATTTGTTGTTGGGTTTTTTAATGCACTCATCCCACACTAAATACACAACTCCTGTCCTCACAGAAAAGGTTTTCCTTCCATAACTCACGTGTAGGATTTTCACATCACAGAAACTGTTGCAAACTTACGTGGGAATTTCCCACACAATCTCTCAAAGGTTTTAATCATGTGAAGTTATCCTGTGATACCACCTGCATTTAACTAGTTACACATTACAACTAATAGCACGAAAAGTGCCTGAGTTCTACATGCTGTTTGGCAACAGGAGTTTGTTTGGGTGAAGATGACCACACTAGAGAGGATATGTGTGTCCCAAATGCTCAGTACAGTGATTTTAGGATTGTTACACATCTCAGGACAGCAAGTGAGCCTTCCAGTGTCTCTCCAGGTGAAGTGCACTGTCCACATTCAGTCACCTCACCTCGGGGTAGCTGTTATTCCAGTGGGAAGGTGCTACTCAGCAGCTTTTTGTGCTGAAGGATAAGTAGGATTGTGATAAAGAAGGTGCAATGGAGCCTGAATCCACCACAATCTTTCTCAACTCAATGCTCTGGGCTGTAAAAATCGAGAATGGGAAGGCCAGGCTTTGTTAGGCTTGTGGTATGTCAGGAATGGCTCTTCCACCTCTCCTTTTTCCTCTTCTTTCTCTTTCAAGTTCCAGCCCCCTAAACTAGGCTGTTCCACCCATTCCTTTGTGTTGGCTCTGGTACTCCACACTCACTCTGTTCACCCACAAAGAACGTGCTGGGTTTTTTTTGGTGCTTTACACGAGTTTTATGCCAGTTTAGTGAGTTCAATCAGCTCAGTGAAGAGCCTGAGTGGAAGAGCTGGAGGTACCTGGGAGCAGAGTTGCTCTCAAGTGGCAGCAGGGGATCATTAGCACAGCTGTACCTGTACCTTCTGAAACAATATTTCATAAAATTCCCATGATAAAATAATGTAAGGATTTCCAGAAAGATCACCAGGATCTTGGATTTTAGGCTTTAATTTTCTTTTAATTCTCTTACTCCTGAAGTTGAAGCATGCAGAAAGTTTGTGTAAGTTCTTTGAGATGAGCTGCAGAGTCAGAGCATTTCTACAGAGACATGTCAGCATCTGTTTACTGGGAATCTCAAAACTCCAGCCACAAAAAGATATTTAAAAAGGCATTCATAAAACTCTGTTCTTTGGTAACCATTTTTTGGCAGTTCTTTGGTCAATGCAAACCTGGAGTCAGCCTTGATTATCACCCCTAAGTGCAAATCCAATAAGGATTGGCTGAATAGGAAGACAAAGCAAGGATTTTTAACCCTTCCTTAAAAAATCCAAAAACAAACCAAAAAACCCCACAACAACTTAGGCTTCCTTCTGCAAAGGGTGTTGTTTTCAAGAGACCAATATGTGTCAATACTACTGTTCTAGAACTGTTTGTGAGCAACACATGTTTTTCAAGAGTTCAAATTAGCCACTACTCCAATCACAGCCTCAACCTTTTAATAGTTTGAAATCACGTTTTTTTGGATATCTGGAAGGAAATATGGAATCCATTTGCTAAACATGCAAGCGTGGGAACAGATTTTTAAGTTGTTTCCTAAGACAACTTCTCAGTACCAGATCCAAAAGAGTATTTCAGGAACACACGCACAAGATTATCTTTTAGATACAGTAAAACGATACATCCAGTGCCTCTCACAAATAAAAGCCAGCAGGGTCCTGGAAAATAGATGTCCTGAGACATGATCACGCTATGAAGCTTGATATCCTCCATGTGGAAGTGGTACAACATCACTGAATAAAGCAGAGGAATTTTGTCACTTAATACCAAAGCAGCCAAGGAAGAAAACCAGCCTGAGATCCCATCTGTGAAACCTCAGTCATCAAACCACTTTTCCAAGAACAAGGAGAACTTGGAAGTCTGAAAGTCTTCAAACTCACCTCCTAATTAATGGTATGACTAAAGTACTGAAGATTTTAACTGTTTTCTGAAGCTGAAACGCAAGATTGAAAAGGTCAAATGTCCCAAAGGTGTACAGCCAGAAGTGACCACAATTCTCTTGAAAGGGGGTTCCACACATTCTCCCCAGCACTGTCTGTATCCAAAGACTCTTTCAAGGGCACACACATTGTATGGGATTGCAAGAACCACCATCAAATTCTTTCTAGGAGCATCGAAAGAGAATGGTATTTTGAATATTAAGGAAAATATACGGGAAAAACACATGTGAAGATTCTTTCAGGAGACTGGTAAATCAATAAAAGTACAGGCACAGTGGATATTATGGAAGTATCAAACTTACAGTTATATGTTGCTTACCTGCAAGTTACAAAGTATATTGTGTTTGTTTTCATGGACATATTTGGGGGAAAGAAGTCACGGCATTCTTTTTATGTAATCTGAACACTTATCTTTCTTTCTTTTTAAACATCCTCAAACAGACACAGTTACAGTAGCAGCACTGTATGCAGTGCACTGCATTTAATGCTGTTACAAACCATATCCAAGGAACAGCAAAAGGCCTTGCACAGAAGAAAGCAATACAACCAAAACCTCAGAACTTTGAATAAGCCAAGTCAACACTCCTGCACCAGCACAGTCCTTCTCCTGCAATTGAGGACCAATGACAAAACGCCCACATAAAGCCATTTTTCAGCTATAAATAGGTCATCAAGTATTTAATTAGGTGATCAGACAAGAATTGACATCCTTTTAGTATTTCCCTAAAGAGGTCTATGATAGTCTAAATACAAAAATTTTTAAAAACAGGATATACACATTAAAATTTACAGCAGCCCCTCTTGGTTTGTGGAGCATGCTGTTAGACCCAAATGACTTCTGGAACTGGGCTTTGGAAGGAAACAATGGCAAGCTGAGGGCTGAATCTACAGCATTTTCTCAGAGTTGCAAAACATCCTGTGGCAATTCTTCCTATCTCCATTTTCCCCTAGACTAGGAGCATTTGGTCAAGAAAATCATTTTCAGAATAAAACCAGAGTATGTAGAAAATACCTATACCCCCAAAAATCAGTACCTTTGAACTACTGATCATCATTCCTCAGGTAATGCACCAAACTGCAGTTAAGGACTGGGCTCCTGGTGTTCCCAGTAAGTGTGCCTGGAATAAACCTGGTAAAATTAGAACTGGGAGAAGCAGAAGGAAGCTGAATAAATAGCTGGACTGGGTCAGAGGTCATTTGGTTTGTTCAGCCTGGAAGAGACTGAGTCCAGAGCTCACGGGGCTTTTCAACATCCTCATGAGGGGCAGCACTGATCTGTTGTGTGTGGTGACCAGTGACAGGGCCTGAGGGAATGGCTGGAGCTGTGCCAGGGCAGGGACAGGTTGGATCTCAGCCAAATGTTCTTCCCCCAGAGGGTGGTTGGGCACTGCCCAGGCTCCCCAGGGCAGTGGGCACAGCCCCAAGGCTGCCAGAGCTCCAGGAGGGTTTGGACAATGCTCTGAGGGACAGGGTGGGATTGCTGGGGTGTCCTGTGCAGGGTCAAGAGTTGAACTCGATGATCTTCCCTTCCACCTCTATTCTATGATTGTCTATTTTTCTAAAGACAAATGTATTTTTAGGTCCTTTGTGACTTGTGCATTCTTCTCAAGAACATGAGGAAAAAATCGTAGCTGTCTGATGTGGGGTTTTCCACTTGGAAGGTGCCTTAACTGATCCAAGAAGAAATACTTTACTCAGAGAGTGGTGGGGCCCTGGCACAGGTTTCCCAGAGAAGCTGTGGCTGCCCCATCCCTGGAAGTGTTCAAGGTCAGGTTGGACGGGGCTTGGAGCAACCTGGGCTAGTGGAAGGTGTCCCTGCCCATGGCAGGGGGTGGGACTGGATGATCTTTCAGGTCCCCTCCAACACAAACCATTCTGTGATTCCAGGATTCTGTGAAATGTGCTGCAAGCACACGTGAACTTCTGTCAATGGAAATAATAAACAAATGACTGGAACACGGGAAAAGCTGTTGTCAGGAGTGAAAACACTTTTCTCCCAGATTAGAATAGAAAGAGTTTAATTAGAAGTGTTTAGGGAGTCGAATACCAAGCGTTTAGGAAGCATCTTGCTGAGTGCATTTTATGCATTGGTAATCAAGTATTTCTCACTTTTACAAGCAATATAACATATGCCCATGTACCACATTAAAAATGCTTTTTCATCAAGAAGAAATAGGATTTATTTCATTCTGAGTTCTGGTAAAGTGTACTACAAAAATTGCACTTCAAAGCTTGAAGTAAATGATGATATTATTTGTAAAACTCAACTAAAAACTTTGATATTACATTAATCTCTAATAAATTTAACTTAATATTACTGCATGCAATTTTATGGTGATAATTCATATTTTAAAGACTATTTTTATATTCTTCATCCCTCATACACTAATTAAACCTCAGTGTCCACGAGAGACCGTTTTTCAGGACCAGAGACTGTTGCAGTGAGTGAAGCAAATAGGTCAATACCTCTATTTGCTCTTTCATAGTCACTAACTCTCGTGGGTTTTTGTTTGTTTGTTTACCTTCCTTTTCCAGAGTGGTTGTCCTGAATAAGAAGATATGAAAGAATACACACTCCTTCTCTTTTTGGCTTTGTGCTCTGCCAAATCTCTCACTGGTCCTTCCTATTTCACACTAAAGAATATGATGCTCCAAGACATGGAGGACGAGGACGATGACGACGATGACGACAATTCCCTGTTTCCAACCACTGAACCCATTATGCCGCTAATTCCTTTTGATCTGTTCCCAACATGCCCCTTTGGATGCCAGTGCTATGTGAGGGTTGTCCACTGCTCTGACCTAGGTAAGAATGAATTTGTGCCTGTTCTCCTCTGGACTCTCCTTTTGAGGATTTGTCTTTGAAAAGATGAATTCTACAGCTCCATAAATTGCACACATTCATGTATTCCTGTATTAGTCATTTTCAAAAGGAGCTTAACATGTTTTCCATTAGGATTGCAAACCATATCTAATTTGTGTCCAGCACTTTTTGCAACATGAATGTTTTCCCAATCCACGTTCACCAGTTTAGAAAATGAAAAAGCTGCTACAGCCATTTTCCATTAGCAATGATTTCTATGGATAACAACATGGAATGGAAAGGCATTTAGAATATGTAAGAAGTAACTGTAAAAGTGTTTAACTGATCACTGATCAGGGTAAGTACATAATAACCTGCACAGTTTTTTATCCACTAAGAGAACAATTACAGAATGGGAAAATGCTTCCATTTACATTTTATATTGCACTTTCTACTGGTTTTTTTACTTGCATGATGTTCTATCCAAACAGGGGACCAGAAACATTTGTTGCGTATTTTGTTTGAAACAGATTAACTATTGGTCCCCTCTCTCAAAAAAAGAAGTATTTCATTCATAACTACAAAGCAACAGGTCAAATGACAAGAAAACAAATTAAAACAAACCACAAGGACATTTAATGTCCCACATAAGTGGGACACAAACTTCACTCAAGTGCTCATCACTGGTAACACTTTAGCCAAAGGCAAAGCTGCTCCTGTCACTGCTGCAGGTACATCCCAGTCCCTAACTAGGAATTCATTATTAATTGTTCCAATTTGAATTAGTGCTCATTGAAGTTTTCTCATGATTCAAGGCAATCATGGACTGTGGTCCTGCCACGAGCACAGGGACAATGCCATTTGTCCTCATTGCAGCCCTGCCACCATCCTGAACGTCACCCTGGACTGCTCATGGCTTAGGAACATTGAGTCCATACAGAAACTGCTGCGTTGTTTTAAATGTGTCATTATTAAGGAATCCAAATAAACTTTTGCTGACAGCAGCAAATGGAGGTTATTGCATCTGGTCTGCAGATTGCAAACCACTTTACAGTTCACACATAGGAAAAAAAACATATTAAGAGACTTCATCTTTAACTGCAACCTATTAATTATGGAATAATTGCTAATAAACGTCACAGCCCTTCATGCATCAGCATTTCCACTGAAAAGGAAGTTACTACCCCTGCTAAGGTTTTTGTGCTGATTCAGGATCTCAGATGGCCTGAACTGCAGCGGGTTTGTAACTGAACAGAGAGCTGGGCTGGGGGATTTATACTGCTGGTAATGAAGGACTGGCAGTGGGGACCACCCCTCATCCAAGTGTACCAAGAACACGTCTCTCAGCCCTGCCCTTCACTGTGTGGCTCCACAGGCAACCCCAGCACTGCGATGGATGGGGCAGTGCAGGGGTACAGAGGAGCAGCCTGGGCACAAACCCCATAAAGCCACTGCCCTGGTCCCAACAGGGAACCAGTGCCCTGGAGCCTCTGAGGGCTCCTTTCTCCAGGGACTGAAGCAGTTTCCTTGCAGGACAACCTGTGCTCTGAGTTTATGCCCCAGCTGCAGAGAACCTGCAAGGAGCACCCCCTATTCAGGCTGTCATGGTCAGGGGCAGCAGCAGCTCCTCCCAGAACTATCCACACACGTTTGTGGTACATCCTTACATCATTAGTTCCTCCCATTACCAAAAATTCCCTTCTACCCTTTGTTCTATGGCTGTTCCTATTTTCTTTCCCACCATAATCATCAACCATCTTACTGTGCTTTACTGTTTAGTAATTAATTTTTTTGGACTTGCATCCAGGTCCATAATGGTTCTGTTTATGTCACTTCTATAGGTTTGACATCAATTCCTCGCAACATCCCGCCAGATACCCGGATGATCGACCTCCAGAACAACAAAATTAAAGAGGTCAAGGAAAACGACCTCCAAGGACTCACATCACTCTATGTAAGCTGCTACTTCCCAAGGTGGAAATCTTATTCAGCAATCTGAAATATTTCCATACTTCCACAATACAAATGGTATTTTCCTTCTCTAATAGTAGAGATAAAAACACAGCTTAATGTCTGAGTATTTGACTATTCCCACATGGTGAGAAGCAAATATCTTTTGAGTTGTAAGAACTACTTTCTACAACACCCAGAAGATGTACCACATGCATCTCACCAAAAAGATTTTCAAGATGTTTCAGTCCTTAACATGCACACAAACATTCCTTACATTTTAAAGGCTGCAAGACAAGAGCTCCTTTTTTATCTGCTTAGCTGGAAAACACCAGAAGTTCTCACAGTAGAACTAGAATGATGCTTTCTGAGGGTATTTAAAAAACACAGAACATAAAATTAACACATACACCACTGAAACTTGTTACAAATCCAATTGACCTGAAGAGAAAACAGACCAACACTGAATTACTGCAAAGTCAGGGGATTTACTACTAACTTTTTAACATGCTCACATATGCACATAGAAACACTTTGAAACAAGTATCACTGGCAACTGATAAATCCAGATATTTACAGTACACAATGTTACTGTTTTATTATGAAAGAAAACAAGAGTCTCAGAGGACTGGAAAGTTAAATCTGCTTTAGAATATTTATTTTTATAACAAGTCACTCTAGATCCAGTGACAATAAATATAGACAACATTAAAATTTTCACTGTAAAAATGACAAATCCATCCCACGTTTTACAGCAAACTAACAACAGTCTATTCCCCATTAAAAGACACGAAACACACAATAAACTATCAGAAGGAACGCTCCTAATACATTAAGGAAAAAATAAACTATCAGAAGGAACGCTCCTAATACATTAAGGAAAAATTCTTCCCTGTGAGGGTGGGGAGGCCCTGGCACAGGTTGCCCAGAGAAGCTGTGGCTGCCCCATCCCTGGGAATGTCCAAGGTCAGGCTGGATGGGGCTTGGAGCAACCTGGGATAATGGAAGGTGTCCCTGCCCTTGGCAGGGGGTGGGACTGGATGGGTTTAAGGTCCCTTCCAACAAACTATTCCGGGATTCTGGGATTCCATAAACAAATCCTTTCAGTCCTATTTGGTTTCTGAGCAAGACATGAAAATTTACCAGATCTAAATGTTTATGAATGAGCTTGTTAATTATTATGGTTTAAGCAGGACAAGTAGGAGAAGAATCACATAAATTCCCAGTTGGCAACAAAACATTTCCCATTCCCCCTGTCTCCTGGGTACAGAATGGCCTCACCAAGGAAAGGGGGTTTATATTCTGTATAACAGATCTTACTGAACTAACCTCCAACGACTGAGGAATTCACTGGAACCCATCAGCCATCACCACATTACATATCAGTCACCACTTAATTATGTGACAACTGAGCTGCTTTGTTCCTTCTCCTCAGTTCATTTGTGGCCAGGCTGAACAACATTTTTACTGAGATCAAAGTTTACTTTGTACAGCTTGGCTGAGTCCTGGAGTCTACTTAGCAAAGGCACAGAGGGCAGCTGGGATTAGGAAGGAGCATTTCCTGTTTATTTCCTTAAGCTAGGCTCATTTTTTTCTGGAAAAAAATATAAATTCTGGTTTGCTCTACATTTTTCCCCCCCACAATTCCTGAGAGGAGATGAATTACCAACAGCTCCAAGAACTAAAAAAGGAACAAAAATGAATATCTGAGATGCAAATACAGGGATGTGATTTGACATGCAAATGATTTTGGATAACTCACGTTTTATTGTCTGTAGTAACTCATTACAAGTTCTCTGATAACACAGAGCAAAGAAGAACAGAAAAACTGCCCCAAAAAGGACTAATGCACAGTACAGAAGAGAGATACTTAAATTCACATAAGTGGGAAAATTATGGCAAATAACATATAAATTCATGTGTCATATAGAGACATGAACATCTAAGAAACACAGATTAAAAGCCTGACTTTTATTTTGCTGAGTTATCTTGAAATAAAAGATGAAGTTCTTAGTTTTGAGAATCTGTCTGCATTAAGGAACGACAAAGTATATAACCCCCTAAAATATTTGAATACAAACATATTGTTTTGCCAGTTCTTATGATCCACTGGCACCTTGTCAGCTCTGACTAGTTTTTCTCTACCTTCCAGATGATGTTCCAGCTTTCAGGTTCTATTTTGTTTTTCATAAGCAACTGAAATGCCCAAAGTGCTAAAGTTTGGTATGATGGAAAAATAAAATATTTTAAACACTTAATTGCTAAATTATATATCAAATTCATGACTTAAAATTTATAATCATAACTTTCCTATATAAAAAAAATCTTTCTATTGCTCTTCCCACGTCTCCCAGGCACTGGCTTTGAACAACAATAAAATCTACAAGATCCATCCCAAAGCCTTTCAACCCACAAAGAGGCTCCGACGACTGTACCTGTCCCACAACCAGCTGACTGAGATTCCAACAAATCTGCCCAGAACGTTGGCAGAGCTCAGAATTCATGCTAACAAGGTCAAGAAAATCCCCAGGGATGTATTTAAAGGAATGAAGTCTCTGCATGTTTTAGGTAAGTCCAATTGAGTAGAACAGAAAATGTCTTTCCCAAAAATGTCTTAATCAAAAATTTCTACTATATAGAATTTTCAGCCCAATGTACAGTTTCCTCTCAAAGAGATATCCAAGCTCTGGGAAATACCTTTCCCAATTTAAATTCTCTGTGAAGCTGCTACATAAGTCAGGGTTTGGGTAACTCTGCAAGCCAAGTTAAATAAGTTAAACAGCCTGAATTCCCTGAGAGCTGTGACTGCCACCCCTCAGAAGAGGTAATCAAAGCTAAACATTAACTCATGCTTAGAACATCAGAAGTCACAAATAAAATTAATTCACAAAATTCCTAAGCCATAAATGCTTTTCTTTTTCTCCCTTGTCAGAAATGAGTGCAAATCCTCTGAACAATGATGGAATAGAGCCCGGGGCTTTTGAAGGAGTAAATATCTACCATATAAGAATTGCAGAAGCCAAGTTAACTTCAATTCCTAAAGGTAGGTTTTAGCTTTCCTATTTTACTTATACCAGTGTATTCCTAAATAAAATGCTTTAACATCTATATGATTACTAAATTCATATATTCTGTTTTGTATTTTCATTACTACCAAGCCACTTCCTATCTTATTTTTCTTTTTGAAGTTCATATTTAATTCCAGATCCCAAAAGAGTGAATGCACAAACAGCACACACAGTGCACACCAGAGACTCCTCTCAGGAGAAACAGTGCAAAGAAATTCATAAGATGTGATTTCCCATCTTTCACACATCAGGTTCTCCAAAATCCTCACAAGGGAAGAACAAACCCCCTGATATGTGATCTGGGCCAGAAGGGATACAGAATTCCCACTTCCTTTATGGATTTGAAATGCAACTCCATGATTTTGAGCTTTAATTTTTAATGTTTCAAGTCACTCTGTAGCTCAGTTATGTTGTACAGTAAACATAATCTCCTTAATGCAAAATCCAATATGGCATTTTATACATCTTTTGATGGGGTTCTGCTAAGCAAGACTTAATATTAACATTTAGTTAAATTAAACACAACAGATTACAAAATCAAATCACTCCTTCATACAAAAAAAAATTAACTTGTGATTTGGAGGTAGCAATAAATTAAAACACTAACTTGACCCATACAAAAAGGTAGCCTGAAGGAACTCAGTACAACGCTCCACCTCCATTTTCTGCAGGTCAGTGGGGTATTTAACCAAATTAATACGATTTTCAACTACTCAGAACTACTAGTGAAGAGAAAAAGGGAGGAGACAAAGCATAATATCATGTTACATCATGCTTTAACTTACAGGGAAACCATATGTTAGCCCCTTATTTATTTCTCATAATTCAGATAAAGAACTTCTTCCTTATTAAATTTAATCTCTTCCTGTAGGCATATATATATATGTGTGTGTGTGCAGAAGCATCCCTGTACAAGTGAACACTAAAAAAAAAACAACTCCAAACCAAACAAAACCAACTCACCCCAATTGTTCAGATAACTTTAAGGTCAGAAACTACCTGGTTGCTCCCTAACACAAAAATACCCCAAAACACTCCTCTAGTATCATCATAATGCCATCTCCTATCACTTAGCACAAAAAACCCCATAAAATTATTCCAATTTTGTCTTTGTTGTAGAGGAATCTCCTATAAGGGGAAACACAGCAGGAGGTGTGATATGTCTGTCAGATGCATAAACAAATCAAACCCAAACTATTTCACAGTGAACTCATTCACCCCAAGTGGAAACTAAGTCTGTACATCCTCCTGTCTGCAAGTATTATAATGGCACGAAGATTTAAAAAAATGTAGCTTGTAAAATGTACCCAAACTCTGCAATGGACAGGGGGGTGCTCTTCCCTCTTCCCGGTGTAACTCGGACACCAGCAGCACGTGGAGCTGTGAACTGGAATGCAAACTGGGAAAGAGCCCAACCAAACAAACACAGCCCAGAGAGTGCCAGCTGGAATTGAGGCAGGCTGGGAAGCAGTCCGGGAAGCAGCTCATTCCTCCAGCACTGCAGGCAGCGGGAGCAGCGCTGTCCCAGCCCCCGAGCGACGGGAATGGCTCGGTGTCGGCTGCCACCTAGACAGAGGCTGGAAAACTGAGCCTGAGAGCAGCGAACAGGAGTTCACACTCGGGATGATCTTCCTCTGCCTCCCCTAAAAAGATACGGTGGAAAGATTCACCACCTCCTGGTCCATTCAGTGGCAGTTCTGAATGCGGAGGTATTGGAAATACAAAATATTGTGGCGTGGGAAAGAGCCAATCAAATATCTCATTCAGCTGAGGGGATTCCCAAAGATCCCTCCCAGATCGATCCCAGCAGCTGAAACTGCACAATTGTTACACCATGGGCAAAAAATTACAGGTCTTCAAAAAGCTCTCCCTGGTTCCACAGGAGTAGGGGTTTGACTACCAGCCCTGATGTAACTGCACGTAACACACAATTTACATCTTTGACAAGTTAACCAAAAGTACTGGGAGCTGTCATAAAGGAAATCAGGAGAAAAAAAAACAAATTCTGGAACTAAAATCTTAAAATTAGTATATGCACTTTCACATCTTACTTTTTTTCTTTTAAAGTTACTATTTTAAACCAAATTATGTTGATTTTTAATTACCACAGTAACACCTAATCCCCATTTCTTTGATGCAGACAACCTCCCCAAAATTCCTCACCCAATTCTAAAAACAAAGGAAAGAAGCTGTTTGGAACATAATATATACTCCAATAAAAAATAAATTGGCTCGTTTTCCTCACACTGTGCATTTATTTTCCATCAGATTTGCCCTCCAGTCTCCTGGAGCTTCATTTAGATGACAATAAGATCACAGGAATTGAACTCGAGGATTTTAACCGTTACAAAGATCTTCAAAGGTAACACTTCCATGCTTTTATTTGATAAAATGCCACTCCTGGCAGCATCTCGATTTGAGACTTCTCTTGTTAATGGCAGAAAAGAGAATTAAAAGTTTTAAGTGTTTTAGTAAGAATTGCTGCAAATAAGACCAAGCTTAAAAAACCCAAACAAACCCAGAAACCACATTAGCCTTGTTATTACATGATTTTTGCCTACAGTTTGCAATAGAAAAGCAGGACAAGAACAGCAGCTGATTACAACATATAACCATCTTAAATTCTTATAGTTCTTATAAATTTATTCTCATAAATACAGTAGCTGGTAAAGGACACAATTTGGTAACTGTTCCCAAATGTGATGGGGTTTAAGGAAAAATGCCTGTTTCTGAGGAATGTATCACTGATGTGGGACTAGAGAAGGGAGCTCTCTCTCTAAAGCTCAGTTAAGACCTGAAAATACAGCTGAGCAGCTCTGCATTTGGGATTTGGTGACAGAAACTACTATCAAAGAAGAAGTATTGAACTGCCTTCAGAGAGCAAGTTCAGTTTCTGAATAAGCCGTGAAAGAACAGAGAACAAGGGAAGGGCAGGATGGGCAGAAAGAGCAATTCCACCTGTCCCCCCACCTTTGGAATCACCTTCCCAGCAATGCAGGCTGGAGTCTTACAGCAAAAAAATCTAACTAAGGAAAACTTGAAAGCAGGAAAGAAGGTAGTCCTGATTAGTCCCAAATTTCTTATTTTAGACATAAGCTATATATATAAAAAACCTCCCTTTACAAGACTTGCTATTTGGCTGTTTCTTAGAACAGCACTCTGCTTTACTGTACACTGGATTACTCTGTAATACTGTATTACAAAGTATACTACTGTATACTACTGTATACTTTGTAATAAAGTATACTACTGTATTATTTGTAATAAAGTATACTACTGTATACTTTGTAGCTTTGTAGCTTTACTGCTTGATAGAAGGGTCTGATTTATTTCCCAGGCAGTTTGAATGATATTTACCATTTAAACTCTCGCCACTATAACTAGAAAAACTGCATGCAAAATTGAACAATTGCTCACATCAGACTGAGATCAGCTGAGAGCTAATCTCCTTAAAGTGGAGATTAAATTAAGAAGTAAAAAATATTTGTTGGCTCAGTTGTGGGTTTTTTCCTATCAGAGGTAAGATTTCATCACCCTCTCCCCGTTCTTTTCTTGCCCTATGTTTACTCCTGTGTACTTCAACCTTTAAAAATAAAGAATGCTCTGCAGTGCTGTTGTGAATCTCAATTAGTTTGTAATTAAATGTTCCTTGTACTATTTCTAGGCTGGGCCTTGGGAATAATAAAATCAAAGATGTGGAAAATGGAAGTTTTGCCAACATACCAAGTATCCGTGAAATCCACCTGGAAAAAAACAAGCTGAAGAAGGTTCCTCCTGGATTACCTGAACTGAGATACCTGCAGGTCAGACACTGAACTGAACAGAAAGCTCCAGTGATTCCAAGTTGTTTGACTTTCACTCTGACACACTGATTAGGTCACAATTAATTGCCACGTATATTTTGATTTGACTCTCTTACCAGGAAAACCTAAAGTCACATATGCTTATTAAAGAAATAAATTTAAAATCAAACAGCAGGAATATTTCCTGGGGGAAAAAAAAAAAAAAAGACAACAATGTGCTACACCCAGAAAATGTTTCCAAGAAGTTTGTTACAGATTTATCATAGTTTCCATATTAGCAACCCAGAGTGGAAATTTTTCCACTCCCATACTGAAAGGTCTTAAATCCAAAGTAAACTATTTATAAGGATGAAATTATGAGTTAAGATTTTAAAATTTGTATTCAGAACTAGATATATTTGGTAAGAAAATACTTTCAAAACACAATTATTTCCTGAATTCTGGAATAGCAATTAAATTCATATCTATTTTATAAGATGAAATGCACCTTGGGGTCCTGAGCAGAACAAAGCTTGGGGACAGATGAAGAGATGCACAAGTGACAGAGCACACAATAAGCTATTTGGCAAAAGCTTTTCTCTCTGAATTTCATTTCTTTGTGCTTCTCATATAACTTACAAGTAAAGGAAAGTACTTTTAGATAGATAGAGATAAATATACATATATATATATATAAACAACCAATGCAAATATCAACTTACAATGTAACGTAAATTTAGATATACAAGGAATTATTCTGTCACTGTACATTATTTCACTTAAACTCTAAACTTTACTATTACAAGCCCTTGTATTTACTAATTTAAGCTACATCAGCATTGGACTGATCTGTTCCTATAACTATACCAACAAATCTCTCCAGGGTCTCGAGACTAAATCATTAAATCTATTAAATCCCTGAAGATTTTGGAGAATATAATATTGTATCATCATAATTCTTACTATAAAAGAACATAAAATTGCACTTTAGGACAAAGTTCCCTAAGAATAGAATCCAATTACTCTGAGAAGACACTGACAGAATTCCAACGACTTTTCTTTGAGGGAGAGACAGGAGGAAGGTTTTTAAAAAACCTTTAACGTGGATTTTTAACTCGTGTTACTCTCAAGGTCTGCACTGAAGTGATCTTTCAGCCAGAGGTGCCATTTGCACGCTAACAACTGTATCTGCTGCTCCCGCCCTGCAGGTGGTGTTCCTGCACTCCAACCACATCGCAAAGCTGGGAGTGAACGATTTCTGCCCCACGGGCCGGAGGAAGAAGAAGGCTCTGTACAGCGGCATCAGCCTCTTCAACAACCCCGTCAAGTACTGGGAGGTCCAGCCCTCCACCTTCCGCTGCATCTTAGCCAGGAACAGCGTCCAGCTGGGCAACTTCCTCAAGTGACCCCCCAGCCCCTCACTGCAAACAGCAACTTGGCCAAAGCAGTTCTACAATACTTGAAATTCGCAGCAAAAATGCCGATTTTACACTATTTAACCGTTTACAAAGTATCTGCTATGTCCGAGGTAATTAATTAGAAATGGTATGTTAAGTAGGATCCATTGTATTATTTGACAATGTTCAACCTACATTTGAATAATTTAAACAGAAGTCTTTATATCTTACAGAAGAACTCTTGGAAGTGGAACTGGAAACTGTATTTGACGTTTCCTATTGTAGATATTAATTCTTTCCTTAAATCACATAGTTTTGACATATTCCTTCTTTCAAATAAATTCTAAAAATCACGTGGAAGTGACTTTTTCCACGGTAAGGACCTTTTCCTCTCCCAAAGTATTGTAAGAAAAATTGCAAAAAAAAATTATCAGACTTCAAGGACAACTTCTTGTGCCATTTTTGATAATGAGCAAAGATGCAATAAAAAGATATGGTATCGGCAGGTCGCTGTCTCTAAGCTAGAATATATTTTTATAATCTATTAAGTGAGATAAAGGCAGGTTTCACATAATGAACAGACAAAAAGCCCTTAAAAGTTTTTGATAATTTTCTCTTGCAACTTCAAGAGGAAAATGTCCTTCAGTGTTTTACTATTCATAGAATTCGATGCAGTCCGAATATTAAAAAGTAGGATTCAAGATTTATGATACGCTTCAAGCTTAATAGGAATGACTATTAAACTCCCTTTAGGCCAGCACAAACATTTTCTTTTATCTATAACAACTGTAATCGTGTTTTTCAGTTTATTTTCTCCTCTTCCATATTCTGACACCACACGGGTTTAGAATCCCTCCCAATGTAAGTCCCTTACAAGCGCCGACCGCAAGCAGCTGGAACTCACTGCCCTGACCCTCCTGTGCAGGGCAGCCACAGAATTCTCAATACTGACAGTACTGTATAAAATGGATATTTTATATATTTAGTGTATATTTGCTATTGGGATTCAAAATAAATTAAATAAACTTATAGAATACCTGCATTTGTGTAATCGATCCCATGGCAGCTCACGGCAAAACATTCGGAGGTTGTAACAAAGCACCTTCCTGACTCTTCCCTGGATACTTCCTCTGGTCTTCCTTTTCTCACATCTACATACCTTGCAGATCATTTATCCCTGCTCTTCTGCACAAAGTTAAAAATCCAGTACTGTATTTGAAGCAGTTATGGGAAATGGCACAGACTAGTTGTAGAAGAAAATACTGCAGAGAAATGAATCATTTCCCCATCTCAAGCCTTTTACCACCTTCCTAAACACATTACACAATAAACATCAAGTCTAATATCTGATTTTTTTTCATCTGCTTGGTCTCCTTGTATTTCATATTTTGTTAACACCACTAAGCTGTTGAGACCCAAAGCCATGTGCAGAGGGGAGGGAGGGCACACCAGGGGGGGCTTTCATTGAGGAACAATTTTTGCAAGCAGAAATTCTGTACATCGCTTCAAGGCAGAATAAAAACAAAACACTAAACAAAACACAAACCCCTGAATCTGAAGATCACCAAGAATCCTTCCATTCCTGCCTTCTGCAGACGTTTCTAAGGAGTGCATTTCCTAGCAAATACCAACCTTAACAGGCCACCTGCCTTAGAGTACCACAAAACCAGCTCCTAACCCCAGAGAGACAAGGCTTTGGCAACAACCACCAACTGTGCAAGGAGAAAGTGAGCGTTTGAAATAAATGCCCTCTCTTATCTAGCTAAAAAATTGAAATCCTTAATGCCCCACAAAAGGTTCACTGCTTACAAAGTTTACTATCAAAGAAGCAAATAAAGGATGAGGCAGAAAATTTGTAGGTAACCAGAGACTAACCAAGAGCCAGAAAGGATCTGAGTGACTTCCACAGGAAAAGAGTGGCCAAGTAGCAACATGGCAGCAAAAGTAAATCCTAAAGAAGGTGAAGAAGGAAAAACAGATGAAAATTTCCAAATTTTTATTTACTTTGTAGAGCACTGAGTTAATGGTTTTCACCTTGAATAAGTGGGACTTCAGTCAAATCTTCAGTTGAAAGCACAAAGAGCAAGTACAATGAAAGTAAATAGAATAGATAAGAGAAAAATCATTACATTTATATGGATTTCTGGTTTAAATGTATTCTTAGACAGTCATGCTATACTAGTTACATCATTTCAGCAATGACAGCACAAACAGAAAAAGTGGTTCAAATTCTGTAGTTTTACTGAAAGAATAAGCCCACAGTGTCACATAGTGCATTATTCTACACTAATTCAATAACAAGGCTTAAAAACAACAGAGAAAGTAAACAAATCCTTATCTAATTGGGGTTTATGCAACAACAGGAACCTGTAACCAAGTGCTTTCTAAACCTGTGAATCCTTTACAGTCACTCTTTTAAGAGCTTCACCCAATTTTAGGTCCACTGCTGAAGTCCCAGGATAAGGAGAAAACTTTGGGAAAATGCAGCAAAGTGCCGAGAGGTAGAAGACCACATAGTCTTGACCTTATCCTTCCAAATCCTCAAAAACTCTCCACCCTTCTCACTCTTTCCTTTTCATGTGCCTTCGGACTGAGAAACACTTCCTAAGTCAGCATCCATGGATACAGATAACATTCATCCAAGGAACTGCAACACTACTTTGAAGATACTACTCCTGCCCTCACACTTAATAAATCATCTCCAAAGGATTTGATCAACTGCTCAGCTTTGCACCATCCTCAGGGCAAATTCAGCCAGCTTGGAAGTTTAAAAACCTTCATCTGTGACTTAAAGTACATTGGCAATTCCGCATTTCAGCAGGGAAGTATCAAGTGGTTCATCTTAACTGTCTCCTGTAGGAATAATTTTCAAAGAAAAACAGTAATTTCTTATATCCCATCATAAACTGATAGGATGTCTGTCACTTATGAGGAAAAAAATTATGTTCAGTGCCCCTCCACTATTTTTAGCTATCACTCTTCAGTTGGTATTTGTGGGTAATAATAACTAATAATTTACACCCCTTGCACCTTTGGCATCCTTTAGCATAGACCCACGTGGGTGTCACAATGACACACAAACACTGCAATATAAAATGCACCTTGCAGAGTCCCAGCAGTGGTTTCTGAACATGGACAGCAAAGCAATTAACAGAAGAGTAATTAACTAATGATAACACACTGGAGTTCAATGGTCTTTCCACAGAACAAGGCACTTCAGTATCAGCAGATGGGGAGAAACTCTCAAGAAATCAACTCCACCTTTACATCCTCCACAAATGTTACAGGAAGAGGAAAGAAGGAGAAAAAGAGATTTGTTATAAACCCTTCTAACAGTCTTCTCTCATTACTTACTCCTAGTACAAGCAACTACATTCCTCTAATAAAAAAGAATTAGTATTTATTCCTTCTAAGCTTTTAAAATTTGAATGGGCTTCTCTCTTCTGAAAACCTGCCAGGTCCCTACAGGACAGTGAACAAATCTGACCAGAGGATGGCAGCCTGTTGTTACCAATAGAAGGGAAAGGCATCCTAAAGAATAATTAACAGACTGTTACTGCACAGTGAGAGCCCACCAAACACCACTAATACCAGTTTGAGTACTGAAGTACTATTTGAGCACTTCTAAACACTGATTTCTATGTCTTGTTCTACACCACTAATTTACCAAGGGATTAATTAATCTGATCTTTTCAAGTCTTCTCCCTCTCTCTTTGCTCAATATCAACATACTTAATGCAGTACCTCAAACACAGCAACACAAGGAATAATGCAGCATTAGAAGACATAAAACAGCAAACCTAATAAGGTACAGAAAGTTTAAAAAATAGAAGATACTATTAAATCATGATTTTAACATACACCATCAGTTGTGGCAAGCACATACCATGTAAATCAAAACATACATTAAATAAAACAGGATTTCTTTCATATTCACATTGAAAAGCCAAACAAACCAAACCAAAACTTTGACACATCACACCACTTTAGTTTGAGATGTTTGACCTGAAAGAAAGACATTTAGAGAGAATAATTTTGTAAATACACCTATGCCATGCAGCCCTCAATCACCCATCACAAAATCCGATTCCACCAATTCCATAAGTTTGATAGATGGGTTCAGAATCAACTGGTTGTCCACACACTAATGAATGAAATCTACAGATTATTTAATTGCTTTCTCTTGCTGCTGAACAAGTTAAAGAAGGTGAAAAACTGGTTTTTTTGTTTCCTTTTCCCAGTATTACCAGCGCATTTCTCCTCTGCCCAGCGCAAGGCCCGCAGGAATGCAGTGTACCAGTGTACCAGGCAAACTGAATCCAAGTGCCCACCACGCCCTGGAGGACAGGGCAGGTCACCCTCAGAGAGTTCACTGATGACACAGAGGTGGAAGGGGTGGGGACAGGACCCTCTGGGGTTGTGCTGCTGGAGAAGTGGGCAGGAGGAGCTCAAGCAAAGAGAAGCCAAAGTCCTGTACCCAGGGAGGAATAACCCCAGGCGCTAGTGAATGCTGGAGGGCTGGAAAGCAGCTTTGCAGGGAAGGACTTGGGGGTCCTGGGGGACAAGCTGAACGTGAGCCAGCAACGTGTCCTTGTGGCAAGACAGCCAAGGCTATCCTGGGCTGCTTTAGAAGGATAAGGACAACCTCTTCATTCCCAGTGTTGCTGTCCCTAAGTTATTCCATGAACAAATGCTGGATTCCTACGGATTTGAGTCGTACGAGCCTCAGGTTGCTCCAGCTGGTCTCTACCTCACACCAAACCGCTGCCAAGAGGTTACTCAACAGCTCTGCTCCCTCTTCCCATCTGGCTGCTCACTCCAAGCAGGAGGGTTTGTAACTGCCCCTTCCTCAGCTGAAGGACCTCTCTGGAGCACTCTCCTCTGCCCAGCTGCTATTTTTCACAAGTTAATAACAAGGACATAAATATTTCCCTCTATACTGTGTCAAATTCAGTTATAATTGGTAGCGAGGATTAAAAAATATCAAGCGAAATAAGTGGCAAAAAAAAGGGATTCCTTTCTTTAAGAAAGCAAGAAGGGAAAGTCTAGCTATTTTAAACATAGCAGAAACTGCAAAAATGAGCATCCCATCAGGAATTCCTGCACCTGCATTTCCCAAAAGTGAGGAAAATTACTCAGACTAGACCACTAGAAAAAAGCTTATAAGCTAAGATATGTAGATTTTTAACCATTCATATTGGTTTGCTAAAGTGGCAAAACATTTCAGCCACCTAAACCAGACTATGAACAACAAATCTAATATAACTTCACTGTTAAGCAATTTTTACATAATTTAATGTAATTTCAAAAAGCATTTACTTATGTCCCAGGAAGCAATTGCTGTTATCTCTGGAAGACAGCAATTCCCAACATTAAATTATATACAATATTCATTCAAATCCCAGTTAAAAATATTTATCCAGAAAAACTACAGCACAGCACAACAAGCAAAAGAAACCAAACAGAAATTAATATTTTCATTTCATTTTGATCAGAATTTAACAGCAACATGATAATAAAGGCAATAGTTAACAAAGAATAATGAAACCATGTTCTGAAGCCTATGTTTTCCTCAATGTTTAGAATTTAACATTGTTTTTTGGGTTTGTGTTGGGACTTTTTTCCCCCCCTCCTTTCTGGGGAGACTAGAGGCTTGAGAACAAAGCTGCTAATAGAAAACATATGGAAAAGTCCTGGAGTAAATGAAAATCTGACTCTAATTCCAAATGCCACGTATCACATACCACTGCCTAAGTTATC